CTTGTTTGATGGAGTGCAGAGCAGTCCGCGCTTTGGAAGGCGCGTCTTTATCAGTGAAGAGGTCCTCCAGGTTAGCCAAAAATTCCAGGATATTCCACTCTTTGGATTTCTTTTTCTCAATCATCCATGGGGCAACCCTTTTCTGAGCGTCGGGAGGTAAGGAGTGGGTATAGACCCCGTAACAGAAAGCCCTCTCGTTGCCTAGGGACTTCCTGATATTGTCGTCTTCTGCAATCCCTTCGAGGCTTATCTGGAACGTGGCAAAATCGGATGCGTTGCCGGACCACTTTGGCCACTTGTCGAACATTTTTATCGGAAGGTGGCTGGACGGTGGTTGCTCGAAAGTTTGTTTGAATTTTTCTTTAATTTCTGGAGTGCCCATTCGGTATCTATGAGCTGATGTGCTTGGCGTTAGTACTCTTCCAAGCTGGTATAGTCAAATTGTACTATTGAAATACGACGGCTGTTAGGGGTTGAACAGATAAAGCGTGCTGCTTAAGCGAGACGTCGCGCAACACGCAGTAAGAATGAGAGAATCTGAATATGTCACGAAACAGGTCGTGATTTAGTCAATCAAACGAGGGAAAGTAGTCTATTCAAATTCTCTATGAAGAATGAGAGGTTAATACAGAGGGAAAACACGTTCTACATATATGCCAAGTGCGCGCTAATATGTGAGGGATCGACATTAGTTGTGGACCCGTAACAGCTGCTTGTTTCTCTCCTTTGCTCTTAGCCCAGGAGTCGATTTGTTCTAGAAATTCCTGGGCTATATCCAGTCTTTCTTTCCGTTGTTGTTCTGCTTTGTGCATTGTATTCACAATGCTAAGCAGGCTTGGGTGAATTTGCCCTCCTGGATTGGAGGGCGTTGTCGATGACGATGCAACAGCTGGGGCCATTGCACCGATTGAAGATTCTTGTAAATAAGGGTAATGGGTGATGCGATGTGTTAGGTGACAGTTCCGCCTTTATTCTGACCCAATTTATCATATCGACTAAATGCATTACCATTTGTCATGACTTAACTTTTTATCATCGGGAACATAAATATGAACCCAATTCAAAGTATGAGTAATGTAAAATCCGAACAAAAAGATACTTTCCTTGATACACATCATGTCTCAGCATTAACCTCTCCGACCCGAGTCATATAAGGAGTCCATTCGGGTAAACCTAGAATCACCATAGCTCAAAAATGTTAGCTCCAAATAACAAATTTTGTGTTTCTTGGATTGCGTTTATGTTAAGGGCGAGTAGGATTACGGACACCGCACGTAAATAGTACCGCAAAGAACTAATATTTTTCTATAGAGATCAATGACTGGGAATCTTTTACATTAAATATGCCCTCTGCAGCAACCAGTGATCTTGATTCCTGACACGTAATCCTTCGCTACTGAGTGATCAGTTTCCCAGCCTCAGCATAATTAGCTATGTGATTCGAGTCATGAGATACGACCCCGTGATAGATCACGTGATTGAGTTCCTTGAACGAGGCTGGGCCCGAAAGATAGCCCAGCCTAATGGAACGGGGCACAGACCGTAACAGTTTATCCCGACCAAATCTTGTAACCCTATAAAAAATGATCTGATTCAATAACATTGTAGGACTCGGAGAACTCATTGATAGGTCATTTATACAATAGAAGTAGAATTAGTGGTAGTGATTTTCCACCTGTGTTGCTTGGCAGCACCAAAAGACCCTAAAATAGCCTCCCCAAGAGCATGAGGTCGTACTAAGCCCCAATCTAGCAGTACAACGTGAAGTAGAGAGACCAATTGCCCCAAACTGCCCAATACGCCCGTCTCCAGCACTGCCTCCGTCCTAGAAAAATATATCCCTCTCGCAAAGTTCTCCACACTATCCCAAGAAAGCAAGTCACGCAAAAGCGTGCCGCCAGGGAGATCACATCAGACTCCTTAGAACAGGGCTAAAATCTTCTAAGAATAAACCACCGGCCGTGGCAATTCGATGGAGCTGCGACCAGCTAGTGGGTCTCATTCCCCAGACGTGCGAAAGACGCATCTTTCAGGGGGGGCATTTTTTTTTTGCATCATATGTTAATTGTGTATGCAGCTATCTAGCTATGACACAATATCAGAGAAGTGTATAATAGATGACTCAATTTACAAGAAGAGCACTCATGCTTCGGATTTCATTTGCAGGTACCACTGCGAAGTTATGGTGGCTTTTTCTTCACCCCAAGTCAAGCCTCATCCATGAATACCCACCCAGGGGAACGTCTCAAAAACCCTGAATGATCTAGACATGCCTTAATCATCCACTGACTTTCCTCCGCACGAAATATGATCTGAGATGTCTCCTTCCCAAGTGGAGTAGGTGTCTAGGCTACTCAAACTATACCGGAGAACACCGCCAGAAGGCGGACCAGGACACCATCCATCGTTTGCTTGTTTTTATGGTGTCAGCTTCACATTTACAAGCGAAATCCTGGCATACACAAAGCCCAATTCATAAAACTCCTTGGCAAAGTTCAGTATTTCACGCCCGTCGAGATTGTATCCATCCACCGTGTCTTTTTATCCATTTGTCATGATTCCTCTCACGTCCATCCCAAAGAACTGTCTCCCAGATTTGTGCGCCACGCTTTGTGTCTTCCGTCGGGTATAAATATCGGCATGGGCGTGTATTTGGTGGTCAACTGAGGCCAGAGAAGGTCGACGAGAGGTATGGTCATTGGGATGAGGATGTACTTGGTCGTACTTGTAGACTTGATGAAGCTTAGTTGAGAATCGAACTCGTTGGGAGCGAAATAACGACGTGGAGGAGTAATTTGAATCATTGCCTCGTGGGCCAACTTCTTGACATTGCGAAGTTCGACTGAACTTGGCTCCAGAAGAATATTTCACTCCCAGGTTCGTAGAGGACACTGCGTACAGGTGTTCAGTCTTACTCTCCTCCTCAGGATTTCCTCCCTGTTATTCCTCCATAAAATAAATAAATTATTCATTATCTCGACTTGGCGCCATGAGACCCATGCAGGTTTTTATGGAAAGATATGTACTTTAAGTAGGATGACTCAATTTGAATTTTGGAACGCTCAGACAGATTTCATTCGCAGATATCACTCGAGGTTAACCCATACGGCGTATAACCTCTTCCGTGCATATTCACCACAGGGAAAAGCGTGAAAACCCTGTGGCTACCCGAGTGTGCTTTCATCATCCAACAAGTACAATACCACCGCGAGAGAGAGTGGTGTATAGGTTGTACTGGATTCGAACCAGCCTTGTCCTGTCTCAAATGGGATAGGCGTTCAAGCTACCCATTATCTACTTGGGAGAATGGCCTGAATGGTGTACAGCTGCACCATCAAACCCATCATTCTTCCATAGTTGCTATGCTTAACTCTTGCATTAACATCGCCATCTTAGAAACTTTGTAGACATTCCATCCCTCCGGCCTTGCCTCGTCGCTGCCGAACCCCTGAACGTGGAGGCCGAAGATCTCTGGAACTAGGCACCAATGCCTAATTCTTTGTCGGATTATCTAAGAGGTATGCCGGCGAAATGTTTCACGTATTTAGGTAGTGGAAATTTGTCGCAGGTCGAGTTGTTGATACTCTTGGCCGAAGCTGGACGAATATAAGGTCGGTACTTCATCCATACCTTTACGGCGCACGATAGCTGCGAAGGGATGTATGACCACTTTCATTTTAGATGTTGGATACGACTTTTGGATTTTGAAGTGCTTCGGTGAGTGGTGAGATAATTGTGGAAAGGGTTGCGTGATGAGTCTATGTGTAAAAGATCTTCTGGGAAAATTTGAGGAAGTGAAAGCTGTCTGTCGTGTTCATGCGAACATCATACAGGATCAAACCTATCTGCTGTTCGTGTTTGGTGTGCAAATTTTTCTACATGCTTGGCTGTGCTGTCGTATGTGTATGTGTTTTATTGTACTACTTGAGTCTATAACTATCTAGCACATTGGACTCCTCTCTGACCCAGGCCACACCTTGTACAGTGCTCCTACCCCCTTTTGTTACTTGAAAGATCATTGATGTATTCCCCTTGATGAATAGCCATTCAGCTCAGTATGTACCCGTGGAATTCGGCCACCTATCCACGGAACCTTCTTCCCAAAAAAATAAAAATGGTAGCAATGGAGACTGCGTGCGCAGGAAAAAGTCTCAAAAAACCTGCAGCCCCAGCCAGGCGAGGCCCAGACACCGGGACCACATGAGGTGCGCATATTCATCTATATCTCCCTTCTTTGTAACAGTCGAGGCCGACTTGATCTAATCCACCATCTAGGTATCGGGTGCTGGGTACGCTCCGGAAACTCGTCGGATGGCTTTTCCTCCATGATAATGGTGATAGGGGAATGTGTTGAGAGATGAAGACGATGCAGACCGCGCAACCGAATGGGAATCCTCGTCGAAGTGAGGACTTTGATACTCAATCTCGGCTCTGCAGACTCTACAGTGAGAGCTGGAGGTTCGTAGGGGACACCACTGATAGGTGTTGAGAATAGTCCTACGCTGTGCTGTCGTAGAACTTTATAATCGGATTTATGACCCAAAACTTGTCAAAGCCACTCCTCCTGAATGCCGCCTCTATGATAACTCTAAGATAAACCTTTCATCGTGTCAGAATCTCAACTCTGGGTGAACAAATCACATCCAGATCTACAGAGGACACCACTGTAATTTATTCAGCCATTCTTCTTCCGTGAATGTAAGTTCGAAATAATCAAAAAAAAAGTTAGGCGTCTAGATGACAGACATAGTTGCAAATTTTCTTTACAGGGGCAGGGAATTCGCAGCTACAGTGCAACGCATTTTCCCAGCATCTTTGTGAACGAATCCACGACTTTGGCACTAAATTTGCTTTTTTTGCGACAATACAGTTCCCTAAAGATATTCGCGAGCTATACTTCAAAAAATTACTCGGCCACAACTGCTTCGCCAAAGATATATTAGTTTAACTCGTCCGCAGTAATTACTTCCGTTGATGCCCCTGAACAGCAAACTCTATTCATGTCGGCGCGCCTCACGTCCCAAAAAACTGCTGAATCGCGTGTGGGCAATCGAGTAGGTTTATCCACTCTTCGAGCTTCAGAGCTTCCAGAACGGACCGATGTGAGACGCTGGCGATTGCTAGCCGATAAAGGCCGCCACACATGGCATTATCTAGAAAACGATGACCAATTGAAAGAATGGCCCCAAAGTATCGCTGATAAGTATTTTCTTGGTCTACCAACAGTCAGCAGTCCCCCTCCAATGTCAAATCTTCTGACATTTGTAGGATCTTCCTTCACTACCTACGCCCCAAACCGCCCTTGATTCGGTTAAAAACTGCCTTGAATTCTTTCAACATCTACAACTTAGTCCTGGAAATTGGGGATGTGAATATGGGGGGCCTATGTTCCTGTTACCTGGCCTTGTGATCACATGGTTTGCTACCGAAACAGAAATTGCAAGTCATATTGCTATCGAAATGAAGAACTATATATTTAGTCGTGCAAACCCAAATGATGGAGGATGGGGACTTCACATTGAAGGAGAAAGCACAGTATTTGGCACTACCATGAACTATACGACACTCCGTATACTTGGAGTCGGCGCAGAAGATCCGCGTATGATCAAAGCTAGAGGTACTCTACATAAACTCGGTGGAGCGATAGGTGGCCCCCACTGGGCCAAATTCTGGCTTAGTATTTTGGGGGTTTGCGACTGGGAAGTGGTTAACCCAGTACCCCCAGAATTTTGGCTTCTTCCTGACTGGGTTCCATTCGCTCCTTGGAGATGGTGGGTTCATATGCGGATGGTATATCTACCCATGTCATTTATTTGGTCCAAAAAATGGACATGTAAAGAAACACCGTTGATACGTGAGCTACGGCAGGAGCTGTTCACAGAACCCTATGAATCGATTAATTGGGCGGCTAATCGCAATACAATTGCTCCGACGGATAACTATTATCCCAAGAAATGGCTCCTTCGAACGGCAAATTGGTTACTAACTAGAATTTATATACCATGTTTCAGAATTGACTCACTTGCTAAGAAGTCAGAGGAGTACGCCTGGAAGCTGATACAAATGGAAAACAAAAATACCGACTTTTCTAATCTTGCTCCAGTTAGCTTCCCTATGAATTTAATTGTCGCATACATCCAAGAGGGGCCAGAAGCTCATTCTGTAGAAAGACACCGAGATCGGGCTGCCGATTATCTTTGGATGAAAAACGAAGGAATGTTAGTCAATGGTACCAACGGAGTACAGTGCTGGGACACTGCACTTCTTATTCAATCGGTGATAGAATCAGGTCTCGCTGAAGACGAAAAATGGAGACCAATGCTACTTAAAGCTCTTGAATTTTTAGATGATCAGCAGATGCGGGATAATGTTGATGATCAATCGGCCTGCTACAGGCAACAGAGAAAAGGAGGGTGGGCTTTCAGTAATAAGATTCAAGGCTATGCTGTCAGTGATTGCATATCTGAAGCTTTAAAAGCGGTCATGTTATTGCAAAGAACTAATGGCTATCCCACTCTCCTTGAAGACCAACGCATTTTTGATGCCATTGATACACTGCTAACCTATCAGAATCCCTCTGGAGGCTGTGCTTCCTATGAACCAGTTCGAGGCCCAGCATGGCTTGAACTTTTGAACGCAGCCGAGGTTTTTGGTAGAATAATGATAGAGTATGATTACCCTGAGTGCACAACAGCAGTAGTAACGGCGCTATCTACGTTCACCAAGTACTATCCAGAGTATCGTTCTGCTGAAATTAAGTCATTCAAAGACCGTGCTGTGTCATACATCAAAAAGGCCCAAGGAAAAGATGGCTCTTGGTATGGTAGCTGGGGAATCTGTTTCACCTATGCTGGCATGTTTGCTTTGAAAAGTCTGGCGAGCATTGGCGAATTTTATTCCAATAGCCCACATTCCCGCTTGGGATGCGACTTTCTAGTTTCGCATCAAAGAGAAGACGGGGGTTGGTCAGAAAGCTACAAGGTATGAATCAAACTCTTTCATCTTATAATGCTGACTTAACTCGCAGTCGTGTGAGACTGCAACCTATGTCGAGCACACGGATGGCTCACAGGTTGTCATGACCGCCTGGGCAATAATTGGACTTTTGAAAGCCGAATACCCTGATCGTTCGATCTTGCAAAGAGGTGTCAAGTTCATAATGAACAAGCAACAGCCTAATGGCGAATGGCTCCAAGGTGCAATAGAAGGTGTATTTAATAAGAGTTGTATGATTTCATATCCGAACTACAAGTTTATATTTCCCATCGAGGCGCTTGGAATGTACTCTGAACGCTATGGTAGCGACTTAGTTTTGTAGCCTACTCAGGCTCACATTTTAGAGATGTAGTCATATTATACTAATGTTGGAGCTAGAGCGTGCCAAAAATTATATCTATTACTATCTTTTTATTCTAACCAAACAAAGATAAAGCTTCAAAATGTGAAGATTCAAAGCGAGAAACATACATATAGATGTCGGTTAGGACATATAGTAAATCAAAAAAATGAGTACAGTGTGGACTCTTCATAATGATATTTTCTTCACGCACGCATTACATTCTAATCGTAAATAAAGCAAATTAACGGTACTCGGTATATAGTTGTCGCCGTCGCCCTTTTATCGTTAAGTCGAGGAGGACTATTCTCAACACCTGTCAGTGGTGTCCCCTACGAGCCTGCAGCCTTCACTGTAGAGTCTGCAGAGCCGAGATTGAGTAACAAAGTCCTCCTTTCGATGAGGATTCCCAATCGCTTTCTCCATCTGTATTGTCTTCATCCCTCAACATAACCCCTCTCACCACTATCATGAAGCTTACCACGGTCAGATGAGATGATAGAGTCTGAACTCTTCTCATCACTCACCCTTGATCATGGAGGAGAAGCCATCCGATGGGTTTCTGGAGCCTACCCAGCACCCGATGCGAAGATGCTGGATTGGATTAAGATGGCCTCGAGTGTTGCAAAGAAGGGAGATATATATGGATATGCGCACCTCATATGGTCCCGGCGTTACGGCGGGATTCACGAAGGGTAGAACTCTTCATCTTCAAAGTTGATAAGCGAGGAGAGAGGTTTACGATGGAGATTAGAAACCTGTGGGGAAGTAGAATTTGATAATGAGAGTGGCAACAAGTTACGTGAGACTATAATCGAGAAAAAGGAAGTGATACAAATCGCGAAGCTGAAGATCTGGATGAGCCCTTTTTTCCGCTTCTTACAATCAGACTGATGCCTCAATACAATCTCCGGCTCGTCCTTGAACTGTCTAAAGCATGAGGGTATCTGAATTAGATTGTTAATCTCCACTGATAATCAATCTGGGAAATAATGTGCGGGCGATTCATAGATCCTTATTTCTCAATCATTTCCGAGAGCCTATTTTAATTATTTATCCAAGGATTCTTTTCATTACGCACAAGATTACTTCTTTCCGCACGCCGGTCTTGGAGATAGTATTGCGAATGATCTCTGCCGCTAGTATTGGGTAGTCGGATGGCTCGTTTAATATCCCTGCCTCAGGACGAATTATTCAGGCCATAACACTCGATGTGTTGCAACACTATTTTGGGATGCACATGGGTCAGGAGAGAGATCACAATATGTTGGTAGTTAGTCACGTGGATTGGTGCAGCTTGGCGTGTCGCCCATAAGGCTGATACGCCTGTATCTAAGAAGAGGAGGAAGAATCATCACATCATCGAGAGAACCATTGCGTACGCGTACACGTGTATATTATTGTGATGTGAGGTTACCTGGGGTACCAATACTGACTCTGACATTTGTGTGTATACCGATAATTCTGTCTGTTGGTACAATACGGTATACGCGCGTAAATAAAAGGCAATAAATAGATTCAATAAAACGATACAATAACATTCACATATATTCATTCCATCAATCTGTTCTAATCCTCTTGGTGTCATGTAAGAATGCCAAGAGAATATTACGTAAGTTGCACTATTGCTACAACAGGTTAAAACATATTCCACCTATTACTAGAGCGCACATGACTACTGTACCAACACTGTCAATTATTGAAGTTTGTAATTAATAGACAGTAGAATACTTGAATGAAACTACTCTCTACAAAATGGATATTGAAGAATAACATGTAAAAAAGGATGGTTGTATCTTTGTTACATGTGCGACAGACGACACCTAATTAGAGCCCATGACCTTGCCAATCCTTAGCACACTCTTTTCCACCGATTGGGGTTAAGCTACTCCTAGATCATATCATCTTGGCCTCGCCGAGCTGGGGCTACAGATTATTTGACACTTGTCCCGCGCAAGCGATTTGCAATGATACCATTTATTTATTTCTAATTTCTTTGGGTTGAAGGTTCTGCGGGTCAGGTGGATGAATTACATGGGTAAATACTAAGCTCATGTTAAAGATTTAAAGAATTCAAAAGGACTTCAATGACGTTGACTCAATGGAAATTGAAAGTTTTCTTTTGGAAGCTAGGCTAACGCGTCGTCTCCTGTTCTTGATGTCTTCCACGGAGACTCGTGTTATCTCCCTTACTTGGCCATTTGAGAAAACACCTTTCCCCCCAGCTGGTCCGTGACCCCCTTGATACTTCCTTGAGCGCACCATTCGGATTTCCGGCAGCGCTGCCCTGTTACAGCTTAATCCCTAGACACATTGGTGTTCTTTACCAGTCGCAATCCTGATAAAGCCCGTCATAGCTAAATAGATATCCATCACGGGCAATATATCATCAATTTTCGACATAAGAGGATAAGTGTACTGTGAAGATGTGGCCTAAATCAGAGAGGAGGCCAATGTGCTAGATATTCATAGACTCAAGAGGCACAATGGAGAACAAACACACCTACTCACTTATCACTTTTGCCTTCATATCTGAACTTCCATAGGATGGAGAATAGAAAAATCGAAACCTTACAAATCAAACAACCCAACGTCAGTCACAATGACAGATTTAAGCTATGGAGAGACGGCTAAAGTGGAATTACAAAAGTGAATGAGTTGGATGGTTTGCGAATGAAAACTGCGAGGAACCTAAGGTTAACTTTATGACTTATGGTAATAACTAAGGGTGCTAGAGGCTATCAGAAGTAATCTGAAAGTGTTGGTTATGTCGGAAAATCAACCGTAGAGTATTACGTGTCCGTGGACCAAACCATCCCATATATACATGATTTCCTTCTACTTGCTGATCACAACCTTTGCCTCACCCAATAAACAGATTGATAACCAGTGCTAATACCCGTGATGCCATCATATCAGCATGGATAGGAGAGTAAAAAGATATACTAAATGATGTATAGACAGGTGAATCCTTACACATGACCAAATATATCACATTATAACACCCTCCAACAGTATTCTTTACTATTTAGTAAAGTCGGACATGTATATTGTAAATGCCGCGATGGTCATAGTAATCAAATAATCCGAATTCGAATAAGAATCAACCAGTATTATCTACTGCTGCAGAACTTATTCTCATTATCTTAAGGTCATACAGATATGTCTTCATACCAATAGACACAACTTATTTCGTTTTACTTTGAATCGATGGCCGCAAGCACGTTGTGTTGGAAGAATATCTAGAGTCAAGTATAAATACTTTCAACTAGTCCCGTGTAGACCAAGATCTCAAAATTTCTTGTGCCATTAGATAATTATTGGGGGCTACTACTCTCAGCCGATGGATTAGGTGATGCATATATTTCTTTGATCCATAAATCAGTGTTCTTTGATCGTAGCGATCTTCCATCATTGTGCTGAACGCGGGGTGGTATAATCTCTCGCATCCACGAATTAATATATTCAGGTCGCGGCGAGCTACCGACATAACCCTTAGCATTTATTACTTCCAACTTTTCCAATTTAATTTCAGCCATTTGGCGACGTAGCTTGCTTTTGGAAGATTCATATTTGCAAGTGATAATCTTATAACAACGCTTTCGACGTGATTCTTTTGCCGGCTCAGATGTCCGATCCGCTAAGAATTGGTGTAGGGGCAGGAACGGGCCGTTAGTGAGCCATGCAAGCTTGCTGATTAAAATGCCATTTTCGGGCCTTCCGTTGGTATCGGTGAGAAGGTACCACGCATTTTCTCTTGTTCTTAAAAAGACATGAAGATTCCCTTGATACCATGCAAGAAATTGTTTACCGGGTAACGTAGTCATTCCTACATAGAATTTGCCGTCATGGACTTCATCATGGATACGTAGCGCAACGTCGGCATTGATGTGAATGTCTTTAACTACAGCTTTGGGGAAAATGTTGCTGTAGGATCCATAGAAGCTGCAATGTCCCCAAAAAGCCAAACTGACTATGGCACCTTTCGGACATTCCTCGCGATCTACGACTTGGGATAAATTGATCTGAGAACCTTTCGATTCATGCCACAATTCATCTATAGCGTTATGGCAATAAAAAAGCTTCTCATCAACTCGGGGTAATAAAATGTTTTTTTGAGTTCCTACTTTAACCAAGTCTGGACTAATTTCCTGAATTATTTCATGTTCAGTAAGGGTATCTGAGCAGTAAGCTCTAAAATATGTGCCTTTACTTTCCATCTCGTTATCTGTCATGTATACATTTGAGTCTCTTTTGGGTACTGGGAATAAGTCTCGATCATGAGGTGAAAAGTTACCATAGTAAGGGCGTTTCGAATTAATACTCGTTATGACTAAACGATTTCTATGACTTGAACTCCACACCGTCAATAAAAGAATTGCTAAAACACACTGCATTGAGTCAAATGAACTAAAAATATCACCACAAATTCTTAGCTTGTAATATTAGGCCGGTATTGGAAGGTAAACAAACCGGAAGGTGTGATTATCTCAAGCGTCTGAATGATGTGCAGTCGAGCTTGTTGCGTGAAAATGAAGATCAGGTTTGAAGAATTCTTTCAAAATACTACGGAAAATCCGAAAAGGTCGGTGAATCTAGTGCAGTTGTCTAAATGTTCACAGCGATGGCATTTACAATATACCATGTATTTATTTTGTAGATCTGAGATCATTGATGTTCTTTCACTCACGCTGTATTGGTTAAAATAACCATGGCAGATATAAAGGACGTCTAGGAGGAAATCAGATGAAGGAGATGACATTAAGAAGATCTTAAGATTGAGTCAGAGGATCATCTAACTCCGACAAAGTATCCAATTAGAAATGTAGCATGGGAACCTTAACTTGCATACCTTCTTTTGTGCCAAGAAGAAGAGGGATATCAGCGCATTAATAATCATTGATCGAGTTGTCCTTCAAAGTCATAGACTCAGTAGGGACTTCAATTTCATTCTATTCTATTGGTCGAGTAGGAATTGAGGATATTAGATTCATAAGTTTGAAAGCCCTTTAGAATATAAAATTATACATAAATTGTAGTTTCTATTTGCCAAAATCACAGAAACTTCTTTGCCAACTCCGGGAAACTATTCTCAACATCTGTCAGTGGTGTCTCCTACGAACCTCCAGATATCACTGTAGAGTCTGCAGAGCCGAGATTGAGTAACAAAGTCCTCCTTTCGATGAGGATTCCCAATCGCTTTCTCCATCTGTATTGTCTTCATCCCTCAACATAACCCCTCTCACCACTATCATGAAGCTTACCACGGTCAGATCAGATGATAGAGTCTGAACTCTTCTCATCACTCACCCTTGATCATGGAGGAGAAGCCATCCGATGGGTTTCTGGAGCCTACCCAGCACCCGATGCGAAGATGCTGGATTGGATTAAGATGGCCTCGAGTGTTGCAAAGAAGGGAGATATAGATGGATATGCGCACCTCATGTGCAACCGGTGTCTAGGCCCCGCCTGGCTGGGGCTGCAGGTTCTTTGAGACTTTACCCGCGCACGCAGTTTCCATTGCTACCTGTCGAACCTTTTGAGCTGGTTCGGAAGCTGTAATGATTGAGACTAGAGGTATCTGGAAAAATAGCTCGCACAGGAGCTTTTAATTGAAGTGAAATAAAAACATGTAATTGTCTGTCTGCCTGTCTGTCTTCCTTCCTCTTTCTCTCAGCTTAGATATCTACACATATCTACTACCTGACGTACGATGATAATATCTAGAAATAGCTTACTTACATCACAGGATACAATCCAAACATGTTGTAGCCAAGATGTAATCCTAAACCGACTTAATACCAGTCCACTACGTCTGTTACACGGACGCCAAGCATTTTCTAGCTGAAAATTACCCAAAACGCCAAGTTTTCCTGAGGCAATCACAAATTATGTCAGGTACCAGCTTGGCATATTATTCTAACAATAATGTTACGATCATGTTAGAAGAATGGAATTTACATGAATCACGAAACATTAATTCAGGAATACGAATTCCACCGGGTTCTGATACTGGTCTGATACTGGTCTGACACTACCATTTTTATTTTTTCTGGGTAGAAGGTTCCGTGGAAAAGGTGGCCGAATTCCACGGGTAATTACTGAGCTAAATGTCTATTCATCACGGGCAATATATCAATGATCTTTAAAGAAACATTAGGGGCAAGGAGCACTTAATAAGGTGTAGTCTGGGTCAGAGAGCCCAATGTGCTAGATTGTCAAAGACTCGAGAAGTACAAGAAACACAACTCCCTCTCTTTTTCTATGCCAGCTTCACAGCCTCCCCCGAACAGTTGTAGCACGCCTGTGTTCATGTGAAGAGTGAAATCCGCTGGATTATTTCCCTCCTGCCGGCAAAGACGAATTATCCACCTTCTAATGGTATCGGTCTAATCGCTCAGTATGCTCTGCAGATCTGGCATAGCCAAGAAGAATCGCATCCGAATCGAAGTCGAAAGCAACCTCAAGCATATCTAAAACCGGCGACCTCTTGTTAATGTTAGACCCATCATTCTCACCCGGGTCCTCTTCCTCAATCCTACTATAGCACCTCGTCTGAACTCCCGATGATGGCGTTAGTCCAATTGTGTTATATTAACTAGGCTATATGGGAGCAGGACGATGGATACTCTTGGGGAAGTTATGCTCACAGTAGGTCTCTATAGTCGCTGTCGCGTGTGTTCTCGTGATATGTAAGACTTGACTCTATATTCTCGTATAAAGGAAACTTAGTTACAAATGAATGGACAGAGGTTGAGACCTCCTTATATCTTGCTCCAGACTTACTGTGTTGTTCACAGCCTAGTGCTAGAACATTCCCTTATGATATCATTTCTCTCCTACGAGAAATGATCAGCTCGTTCTCTCTCAATCTATCAGTCTCCCGCTGATTCCATTATCTCTATTCCATCGAGTTCTAGTTTGGTCCAGTATAACCACACATGCATTACACACTAAACACCCCACGGTTTAGTTCCACAGTCACGTGCATATGCTATGACGCGACCTAAAGCATGTACCATGGTAAGTTACATGGATAACACAACAAATTGAAATCGGGAATTTACCTCATCAAAAACCGGAAATCTCCCACTTCAAAGTTACGATGCTTTATATACCCACGAATAGGAAATTATGTCATAATCTACAAAGTTCGGGTCTTGGTCTATGGGGGACCCTTGCTCTGATGGAACTTCACATCTTGAGGGAGGACAGGCAGCTGGGACTTGGGACGAACGTGTGAAGAGTTCACAAATGGGCATGATGGGACGCATATTTTTCAAGTGTTTACGACTTTAGAGTGTCTGTGTGCGCAGAGACAACGATGTCGGATAGTGCTACCGACCCTTAAAAAATAGGCAATGATGGAAGGTGTTCTGGACCGCCTCCTGGTCTTCATCTCCCCGAATTAAAGTCTGCGTAGCCTGAACACCTACCTCACTCGAGAAAGGGAGGACTGTGAGGCCATATCTCGCGCGATGGCTATATGTAAGATGACAAAGGTATACTAGGATAGCCAAAGGTTTTTCTGTTTTCCCTGTGGTGGATATTAATAGTTGAGGGAAGGGTGAAAGTCCCTAGCACCAAGGCTGTTATGGCTAGGCATCCTTGAGGCAAGTTCAAGGATAAGCTTCTAAGGAAAAGGTTCAAGGACAAGGGTTAAGGAGAAGGTTCTCGGGAAAGGTTCAATAACTAAGTTTCCGGGAAACTCGGAAAGCTAGAGTTAGACGGGCTGGAGTCATAACCTAATGGTCCCAAAGCCTCAGTTGAAATTCATTGCGTAGTCTAGTGTACTTAAGGAAGCTGGAGTTACCACATAGTAGTTCTCCAGCTTCTCAATCTTATATCTCCATAGTCCGAAAATCGCACTCGTCTTTCTACTCGTCTTGATCTCTCGTCCTCCAGTCCCAGCTTCTAGTTCTTCAGTTTTGACCTCTTGGTATCTCGCCAGCTCATTCGACCACCCATCTCCAATCTTAGCAGACGGTGATCTTATCATCATCTGACCCTCGCCGTAACAAAGGCCTCGAGTGGTATCAGCGAATGCACGTGCTTCATGAGTACTTGAAATGTCGAACTGAGTTATCGTCTCATAAAGTTGTCAGAGTACTAGCCTTCTCCGTGTCACGCTCCATGAGTGCAAGGCTTGTACCCACCACGAATAAATATTCATTTGCAACCAGACTTATGTAGGCATAAGTCTGAATCTAGTCCAGAAGAGAATGAACGATCTACACAGAACCGTATCTGGGATAGCCAAGTAGAATCGCATCCGAATGTAAGTCGGAAGCAGATACAAACACGTCTACAATTGGCGAGTTCTAATCAATATCGTTCTTGTCATTCTCACGGGGGTCCTCTAACTTACCTTACCATACACCACTTTGCCTCAACGACCGATAAAGGCGTTACTCCAATTTCAAACAGGAGCTTGCCTCATTAGTTACCGACCATCATCCAATAGAAATTTACGACGCTACGTATTCTAGTGAGGAAGAAATCAAGTCATGATATACAAAGTTGGGGTCTTGGTTTATGTGGGACTAATGCTCCAATGGGGTTATACACTCGAGGAAGGACTGGTGACTGGGATGTGGAAAAAGATAAGGAAGAGACCTCTTGTGGGAGTTTAAGTCTGATATTTTCGAGATGTTTTCAAATTTGGAACGTATGTGAGCGCCAAGGCCGAGTTTCGGCTAATAAACTAGGAGGACTTCTTTTTTCTATGAGTCAACGGCAGTGCCCAGAGTCCTGGACGGCATAAAAGAAGTTGGGCTAAGCTACTATATAGCAATCACACTCCGTCGAGATTTTTCAGGCATTTTAACACGACCTTAGCGAAGCAGTTGGAGGGAAGCTGGAAAGGCAGATTGTGAGTTTCTCAAGATACCCACAAGTCTGCAGCGCCCATCTGGCCGGCCCCGTCATACGCTTCAGAAGGATCACCATGTCTTCGGATTTATTCCTAATGTCAGTATTAGAAGAGCTCCGCACCTAGTGGCTTTTGCGATTTTTCCCGGCTGCCATACACCCGTGAATGGCCATCGTTTCGTTGACTGGAGAGAGGACGTAGTGAAGATCAAAAGGCACCTCTAAGTGCATGATCGAATGAGGACTTTTGAGGGGAGCTGTATGGGAGGCATAGGAGGGGATATACTTCTGGTATAGGTATCCTTGACCTGTAGGTAGAAAGGTCCTACATTTCCTACATAATCATAGACCCAGGAAGGACAATAAAATGAAATGATAATAATAATAATAATAATAATAATAATAATAATAATAATAATAATAATAATAATAATAATAATAATAATAATAATAATAATAATAATAATAATAATAATAATAATAATAATAATAATAATAATAATAATAATAATAATAATAATAATAA